AGCCAGAAATATTTACTATTTGGTCCTTTGCAGAAGAATCTGCACCAGTGGTTCTCAACGCTGGCTGCACTGGAGGAATCTCCCGAAGGGCTTTTAAAAACTCTTTTGTCTGGGCCCCAGTGCCACCCCTAGAGATTTGGGTTTAATTGGCCTTGGCTGGGGCCAGACACTTTTTTTTAAAGCTCCCCAGGGGATTCCCAGAGTTGAGATCCACTGATTGTGATCCTTTCTTCCAGCAGCAGGAGTATGACTGTTTGTTACCCTGGCTCCTGGGAGCTCCCAGAAGCCTACAGCCAAAGTCTCTTCGGGTGCCTGGGAAAGTGTCAGCCTTATCTCCGGTGTCAAAGTGCTGACCCGCCCTGCGTTCCTGGCTCGGGGGGTGGGGGTGGGGGCTGGCTCGGCCGGTGGGGAAGCTTGACCTTATCGGTCCTCTGTCCGGCCCCGCATTCTTTCTGAGGCTCCAGGCCCATCCCACAAAGACTGTCTTCCCTTGCTTCCCTGGTGAAGGTTTCTCATCTCCTGCCTAGCTGAGGATAAGGGCCACAGTCCATCCATTCAGCCCTTCGTTTTCCTGCACGCAGGCATGTTGGAGCAGGCAGGAAAAAAATGGCTCACGCAGCATCTTCCCAGGTATTAGTTGGCAGGACTCAATCTCGAAGGTTGTTGCAGAGCACACATGTTTACCAGATCTCCTCGTCTGCCCTAGAGAGAGACTTCTTGGTTTGGATTTGGCTCGTTTGATTTTTTTGTTCCTTTGCTTCTGGTGCCTTTAAAAAAGAGGTCATGCCCTCTTTAGTTGGCCTCGGTTGTTTACAGGCATGCCTTGGTCGGCTCTGGTAATTAGTACCTGTCAGCACGGAAACTGTCCAGGCTTGCCGTCCTCTGTGCCGGAGTCCTACTGGGCTCCCTCCAGCAGCTCGCTGCAGCGCCGACGCCTGGAAGGCGTACACCTGGTCCTAAGGAGCCGTCTGCCTGCCCAGAGGAGGTCTTTGGAGAAGGACTACCCTCTTTTAAAGCATGTCATCTGCCTGGGGCGATCTTGGGTTCTCACAGTCCAGAGGAGCCCTGTGTGTAAGAGGAGATGGACACAGAGGCAGACATGGACACGTTTCCCCCTTTTAATAACCCATAAAATCGAAATCCAAAGTAATTACTGGGGTCTGCAGCATTTTGAGCGCTAAATAACACATATTGAGTTCTCTTGTTGTGCACCGGGGAGCCGGAGGGCCATTTCTTTTTAAGTTGGAAAAACTAATGTGACCCACAGGAGCCCAAGTTCTAGACAGAAGTCCCTCTTTGACTGATGGCAGAATGTAGGTCAAGTCACTACACACTCAGCCTTCATTTATAAAGTGGGGAAACATAATTGCCATCTCTCACAAAGATTTTATGAGGATAGATGAAATAAATGTGACAGTTACCCTATAATAGCAAGGTATAGTAATTTACATTGGTGAGGTCCAGTTAAGCTATAACCTTCTTACTATATCATCCAAAGCAATGCTGTATGCCTGAGCGGCCTCCTTAAGCTGTTTAATAGCTCTGCCCACTCAAACTCTTCAAGTGAGAAGAAAGTTTCAGAGGTGAAAGTCTCGTATTTATCCTAAACCTTGAGATTGGAGACGTGTCTTAACAGAGGAAGATGTTTTCTTTTTCTAAGTGTTGTGGTGTACGTGCCATTAAAAATGGGGTCCAGGGCTTCCCTGGTGACGCAGTGGTTGGGAGTCCGCCTGCCGATGCAGGGGACACAGGTGCATGCCCCGGTCCGGGAAGATCCCACATGCCGCGGAGCGGCTGGGCCCGTGAGCCATGGCCGCTGAGCCTGCATGTCCGGAGCCTGTTGCTCCGCAATGGGAGAGGCCGCAGCAGTGAGAGGCCCGCGTACCGCCAAAAAAAAAA